CTGCAAACCTGTTTTGCAGTGTTCCTGCAAGGGCTGGTGTGGAAACAAGCAGTGTGGGTGCAGGAAGCAAAAGTCAGACTGTGGTGTGGACTGTTGCTGTGACCCCACAAAGTGTCGGAACCGCCAGCAAGGCAAGGTAGGATCAGTGCTGTTTCCTCTCCCCATCCCTTCAGACCTCCCACTAGTTTCCACCCTCTTTTTCTGTCTTCCGTCCTGAAACCTGGAGTCTCCTGCACAGCTCTTCCTACCCTTCTCCTTCCCTCTGAACCCAGGAAAAGAGACAGTTCACTTCTCAATCCTTTTTCCTTGCTGCTCGCCTGTTCACATACCCCTTTCAGAAACCACAGTGCTTCCCAGGAGATTCCCAGGTATAGAGCTCCCTACCCCCAGGCTTGGCTGTAAAGTTTCAGTACTGTTTTTGAGACGACAAGGACAAGAGAGCAGGCATTCACAGGCATATAGACATGTAAGATCAAACTAGAAACTAGTCCAGAGGTTTAACTGGAACTGTAAGACCCACGTGCTGAGGTAGCAGCTTCCAGGAAGTTAATCCTTCTGACATCTTGAGACATTCGTTACTTAGACTCTCTCCATGGCAACCAGCTAGCTATTCCATGGCTCTAGGAAAAGACCCACAGGAACCAGGCCTTTCTAATAGTCACTGTTGTAAACCAAGTTAATCTAAATGTCCTCTTAATATTGTTCCCAGGAATAGCAAACTCAGGAAAACCAAATGTGCCCTGGGAAGAGCAGCACCAAGCAGGTCAGATCCCTATACCTGCCTTACACCTACCTGTGCAATAGCAAAAATGCATTACTACAGCTCTCTATGTGATATACAATAATTCTAGCAAGCACGGTCTAATGATGATTCATCATGCATTTCTTGAACATCCACATGTGAAAAGTTTCAGCCTGCATCTTCTATTAAAAAGACCTCTGGCCGGGTGCAGTGGCTCACGCCTGTAATCCCAGCACTTTGGGAGGCCGAGGCAGGCAGATCACGAGGTCAGGAGATCGAGACCATCCTGGCTAACACGGTGAAACCCCATCTCTACTGAAAATAGAAAAAAATTAGCCGGGCGTGGTGGCAGGCGCCTGTAGTCCCAGCTACTCAGGAGGCTGAGTCAGGAGAATGGCATGAACCTGGGAGGTGGAGCTTGCAGTGAGCTGAGATCGCGCCACTGCACTCCAGCCTGGGCAACAGAGTGAGACTCCATCTCAAAAAAAAAAAAAAAAAAACTTGTAATATACATAGGCAAGCCAGAAGTCAGGCTAAGAACTGTAGAAGTAGCAGAGACCTTGAGGATCCTCTATTCCTGTGGTTTTTCAATTTGGGTTCAAGAGTCATGTAGTAGCTCCGTGAAAGGGCCTCCAGGCAGAGGGGCATGGCCCCTCCCTCCCTCCTCCCATCTCTATCTGTCTCTCTCAGAATCAGTTTCGTTAACTGAAAGGAATACTAATACAGGCAACACCCAGTATAGATGCTAAAAGGGATATCGCAAATTGTAGAGAGGGGGAGTTTAGTCAAACAAATGACCAAGGTTTTCTTTGCTTTAAACCTGGCCTTGTGAGATGTCCCATGCCACTACCTAGTCTTTGCCTTCAGAGGCTACCTACAAGCATTGCTCCATTCCTTCAGGGATAGAGGATGTCAAACACTGTGACCTCCCCAAGCAGGGCCTCCCTAAGACTTGCTTCAGCTGACTAATCAGGCACTTAGAACTGTTACCTCTTTGGTTGAATGGGAGCAGACTGATTTGCAGCCAAATTTATAATATGCCTGTCTGCTTGATTTTCAGGATAGTTTGGGCACTGTTGAACGGACCCAGGATTCTGAAGGCTCCTTCAAATTGGAGGATCCTACGGAGGTGACCCCAGGATTAAGCTTCTTTAATCCCGTCTGTGCCACCCCCAATAGCAAGGTAGGTGGGCTAAAAGGCAGGCATTGGAAAACTGGATTAGCATCCTTCTCTGCGTTATCTATGACGGACCAGTAGAAGAGAGGCAGGTGAAGTAAAGGTGTAATCAGTTTGCTGGGAACTAGGGGTCGCACATAGACTAGAGTCTGGTTTTTTCCATGGAATGATCTTAAAGAATACCTCATACTACTGGGAGTATGTCGAGCATCTATAGCAGCTCGGCTGGGCTGAGCTTCTGCCCCTTTCTAAAGCCTATTCATACCTGTCTCTGTCCCTCCTAGATCCTGAAAGAGATGTGCGACGTGGAGCAGGTGCCGTCAAAGAAGACTCCCCCAGCTCCCTCCCTTTTTGACCTCCCAGAGTTGAAACATGTAGCAACAGAATACCAAGAAAATAAGGCTCCAGGGAAGAAAAAGAAACGAGCTCTGGCCAGCAACACCAGCTTCTTCTCTGGCTGCTCCCCTATCGAAGAAGAGGCCCACTGAAGTTGGAGTCATCATCTCTACCCTCAGTCTGGCTTGGGAGATCTTTCAGGTTGCAGCCAGAAGGGGTTTTTAAATGACTTCTCTGGATTTCAGGTTTCTTGCTGTTGAAAAAAGGAAAAAAGTGTTACTGAAAAGAAGGTAACCTTTGTTGGATGTTGGCCCTCAGCCTCCAGCTCCAGACTACTACTCGCTGTTCTCCAGAAGGGTGCCAAACCACCTACTGAAGAGAGAACCAACTGACTTTCCTAATGACTCATCAGGAACCAGTCCTCAAAATCATCAAGTTATTTCTTATTTGTGAGCAGTTCAGGCTATCTCATGACGGGGATGAGGCCAAGGCTTTCTTATCTTTTGGTTGTCTCTGCTTAACGGAGGAGCCTGGCCTAGGACGGAGGCCTGGTTTAGATCTTTCATTCCACCTCAGGAATGGGGTTGTGATCTGTACTGTCCTGACCCTCTCTGAATTGTGTTTCAATAGTACTCTCGATTGTCTTCCATGTTGTTGAAGTAAATGAATTATTTTTAAATGTTAAGTAAGTAAATAAACCTTAGCCCATCTACTGTTCGGGAAGATCCTTCTGTGCTAGAGGGAGAAATAAAATTTCAACCTGTGTTCCTGAGCCCCTGAGGAAGCTATTAAGGGGATTCATTACAAGTACCTGAGCCTCCCTGACTTATTGTAGCCGCCCTCTTTCCCAGAAGGTAGTGTGGAGTGTGACATGTCTTTATGTTGCTCTGCTACCCTAAGAAATCAGAATCACGTTAGCAAGGCCAGTGGCCTGACCTCCACTGTAGAACCTGCCTGGCTTCCAGATTTGGGAGGAAGAAACCACGTTTACTAACCATCTCCATGTTCTTGCCACAATTTTATTTGTTCTTCACACACACACACAAAAAGGTCAACATAGATAGATGTCCTTATTTTGCATTTGAGGAAACTGGGGTACAAAGAAGTTAAGTAACTTACCCAGAGTCACAAAGTTAGTGAGCTAGGGCCCGAATGCAGAGCTACCATCCAAGCTTCACTCTAGCCAACTCTCTAGAGTGCCAGCAGCGGCCACTTCTAATGCCCTGCAGCCTGATTTCTTAGTGCAGGAGGGGCATTGCACCATACTGCTGTCCAGTCCCAGGACAGAACGGCACTGGCTCCTTGCATTCTCCTTTGAAAGATGCTTATGCCTTACAATGTATCAGGTTCTCCATCTCTGCTTAAAGCTAAAAGGGGGCCAGCCCTGGAATACCATACACAGGCTGCTGACTGGCCTTGTCTTCTGAGGTGCTCACAAGCCCTGCGCTTCATATCTATGCATTCTGAATTCCAAAACCCTTCTCCCAAAAAAAGCTCCCAAACCATCCCCAAAAACTCAAAAGCCAAGACTCCTCTAGAATCCACCAGAGCCCAAGCAAAAGAAACTGAGCAACAGTCTGCCTAGAATGAAGCCTGCAATGGACTAGGTGACCTGCTGGTCCTCCCTGGCCTCCTGCCAGCAAGCAGCCCTGCTTCTCTTTGCATTTTAATGCCGAGGGAGCAAAGGAGCCTCTGCCATTGCCAACTAGAGCCTCTGGACACAATGGGAAGGCTGAGTGGGAGGGGGGCCAGCTCTTGGCATAAGAGAGCCAGTCTTCCTTCTCACTGTTTGAAAGCCAGTGTGTGGCGGGGGAGGGGTAAGCAGACTTATCCCCAGAGAAAACATCCTTTCCTACCAACACTGCACTAATAGCCCCCAGACCTCGAGTCACCGCATCAGGCATAATGTAGAGGGAGAGGTCAATCAAGCCAGCCCCTGGCCCCCATCCCACCCAGACCCCTGTGCTTTAGCGCTAAGCAAACTCTATAGTGTGCTAACCAGCCCTTCCCCGCTGATGCTATAGTAACAGCATCTTTTGTATGTGTTCATCTTCCAAAAGCCTGTGACCCCAATATACACTACACTCCTCAAAGGATTCTTGGAAAGAGACTCATATGCCTTAGGGACAAGGCAGCAGAAATGACACAAGTCCTGAATGAGCATCTCCTGTCGGGTGATGAGGGAAGACGGGAGAACTACTAGTGTCACCCAGGATCTACAAGGCCCATGGGGACCTCTGGTCCAGAAACAGGGCAACTTGCTGTCCAGGAAGTAGCTTGTAGCTTCTGTTGCCCAGGCTGGAGTGCAGTAGCACAATCTCAACTCACTGAAGCCTCGACCTCCCGGGCTCAAGCAATCTTCCCACATCAGCCTCCCAAGTAGCTGGGATTATAGGTGCACACCACCATGCCTGGCTAATTTTTGTATTTTTTCACCATGTTGGCCAGGCTGGTCTTGAACTCCTGACCTCAGGTGATCCACCCACCTCGGCCTCCCAAAGTGCTGGGATTACAGGTGTGAGACACCGCTCCAGGCTGCAGCTTCTTATACATGCACCTTGCTGAATTAGAAGTAGGAGCTCAAGAGGGGAGGGGGCCTAATGAATCAAGGCTGTATTCCCAGGGAGCTTGAGACTTGATGTTAGACTTACACACACATACATACACACACACACACACACACACACACGCCTTTCCAGTGGGCTGGCTGGGCCTCTTCTCCTCACTGCCAAGCTGCAAAGTTGTGTGGTCACCTCCCCCCCAGCTTCCCGCCAGCCTGTGCCCTCAGCCCTCGCCTCCCTGAGCCAGGACAAAGCCCCGGCAGTGACTGGGAGGGGAACAGGAGGAGGGACAGAGGGATGGGAAAGGCTGCACAAAGGAATTCCTCACCCCAAGCCCCCTGACCGCCAGCAAGTAAAGAAGCAGATTTGCTCTCCCTCCCCCTTCCTGCCTTCCATCTTCCCACCCGGGCTGTGCCCAGGCCACAGAGCAGCTGCAGGCCTAGGGAGAGGACCCACACAGCCTCCTGTAGGTGGCAACAGTGCCACCTGTTTGACTCATAGGGCTGAACCGACGACTGAAAAAGGGAGGAGGCAGACCACTCGGAGAGGAGCTGGGAAGCAGTGCAGAGAGCAGAGTGGAGCGGAGCTGCCACTGAGCAAAGGTGTGAGGGCTCGGGAAGGCTGGGGGGCTACAGATGGGAGCTGTGGAGCAGAGACCAGCTCCATCCCGCTGGGCTTGGACCGGGGGATTGAATGGCACCCCTGTCAGCTCCCCTACTTGGGGTTTTCAGGCTGCTCAGACCCTGATCCCATCCTACAGACAGCTCCTGAAGGGAGGGGACTCTGGAAGGCAGTGTCTGGGGCACAGGGGTAGGACCCCAGGGGAGGCAAGAGCTTAGGGCAGGCTATCAAACCAGCTCCAAGATGGGCAGAGGCAAGGGCTTCCCTTTGGGTTGGCTTTTTACCGGGAAGGGTCTCAGAGAGGGGAGAGATTTCCTTCCCCCAGCTCCAGCTCCTCACCCCTACCCTAACCCTCCTTTCCCAAGGCAGCATAAAGAGGGCAGTTCAGAAGCAGCCACACCTTCCTCCTTACCGGACCCAGCCACTGTGCACCCCCCTAAGACTCCATAGCCTCTGGGGAGCTCGGAGGACAAGGGGTCCTGTCCCTCAGCCCACATGCACACATGCTCACACACTTTGGGTGTATCCAGGGGCTCCTTTACATACTCAAAGTCACCTGAAATCGTATTGTACCGACAGCCAGTTGTGCAAACACAAGTACAAATGCTGACACAAATCGCACACCCTCTCGTGTAGAATCAGTCACATACCCAGCCAAGTCTGGGGATCAGCTCAGTCAGCCAAACCCAGAAGCATAAGGTACAGGGGTCCCCTGCCCCAAGACAACCACACCCCGCATTCACACCTTTGCCCTGCGTTTGTTGTCCTTTGACCAAAGCTAACTTAGAGGGTGGGGCTCCTGAAGGCGGGTCTGGGCTTCTGGTTGGGGTGGGGGGATGACTGGGCAGGAAAGGGCAGGACTTGAGGGGGAGGCTTTGGATTTTGAAAATCCAAAGATTCCTTTAGAAGACTGGGAGTGACCCAGGCAACACGTTCACCTCAAGTCTTCCTCTTCTTGGCAGTGCCCTCTGTCCCCTGGGAGGTGGACACAGAGGATCTTTCAGAGATTTGTGATCTGAATAATCTCTATAACCATAGCAACTGGCCAACTAGCTGGGCCTTCATTAGCCCCAGGTCAGAACTGGAACCTTTGCTTCAGGTTACTTCTGCTTCCTGGGCTGGAAAGCAATTCAGCATGGGGCTGCCTCCAGCTTGGCCAAACCTGCTTTAACTTGCTGAACTGAGTTTGCCCCACCCTGGGCAGTTTCTCTTGAGTTCTTTACCCCCAGGGCAAGCACTCCATCCCCAGAGGTGTGTGCTGTTAAATGGGGAGAAGCTGGAGACAGTGGATATGCATCCTGCCCGAAAAGAGGCTGGACCTCTTGGGTGTCCCACTGACTCTCCAGGTACCAAGATTAAAGGGAAACGAAGGCTCTGGAGATTGTCTCCCATTGCCAGGCTTGCAGCTGGGGCTGCTCGCCTCATCCAGTCTGGCACTCTGGGCCTGCCCCGTGACCTCCGTTGCTGAGCAGCGGCCCAGGCCTCTGCTCCTCCCCCGGGCTCCTCAGATACACTGGGAGGGGGACTGGGATCTGCCCTCTGCCAGGGTCCCTGATGGTTGAGTGTCCCTTCCCCCAGGCCTTCACCATGGCTGAGTCCCCCGGCTGCTGCTCCGTCTGGGCCCGCTGCCTCCACTGCCTGTATAGCTGCCACTGGAGGAAATGCCCCAGAGAGAGGATGCAAACCAGCAAGGTGGAGTAGGGATAGAGGGGGGAGGCTGGAAGTCAGAAGGCAGAGGCCCACTGGAGGGGATAAGAAGGCCAATTGTGCTCATAGACAGCTTGGGGGAAGGGGCTCTCTCTCCCAGGAAGAAAATCTCCCTAAAATATGGAAAGAGCTGCCCCCTGAGCAGAGCAGCCCAACACGGGGCAGGCAGCTCCCTTCAGCTGCCACCTGCTGGGGACTCTGAGCTTCAAGTAGGTATTGGTTGTGAGTTTCTCTCCTGCCCCTTTGCAGTGTGACTGTATCTGGTTTGGCCTGCTCTTCCTCACCTTCCTACTCTCCCTGGGCTGGCTGTACATCGGGCTCGTCCTTCTCAATGACCTGCACAACTTCAATGAGTGTGTCATGGATTCCCCCCGCCGCTTCCCCAGCATACATGTCAACCTGCTCCCCACCCTGGGACCCCTAGGTGCCCCACTGCCAGTCATCCCCCAGCCCTGCCCAGCTCCTCAAACCCAGCTCTGCTGCTACCCAATCTCCTTAGAAAATCCCTCCACAAAATCTCAATCCTTGGAGCCCCTGGCCCCGTGAGGGGCTTTCTCCTCACTCCCTTCTAGTCCTCCTGGATCCACCCACCCCACCTCCCCTCAGGCCACTATTGACACCCCTTCCCCCACTTGGACACTTCCCTCTCCCCTCCCACAGATTCCTCTTCCGCCGCTGGGGACACTGGATGGACTGGTCCCTGGCATTCCTCCTGGTCATCTCTCTACTGGTCACATATGCATCCTTGCTATTGGTGGGTCTGGAGGCCGCTGGCCTAACCCCACCTCTGCCTTCCTTCCTGCTTAGTTCTAGCTCCCTATTCTCATCCTGGCCACTGAGGGAGGGGCTAATTCTTGGGCAGGAGGGAGGTACCAGCCTGGGAAGCCCACCTCAGTAACCTTGCTCCCCTCTTGGTGCCCCATCAGTCCCACCACTCTCTGCCCCCAGGTCCTGGCCCTGCTCCTGCGGCTTTGTAGACAGCCCCTGCATCTGCACAGCCTCCACAAGGTACAGTAGGGATGGGAATGCATGGGAGAGGGGGCCACTGGGCCCAGCACTTGGCTGGCTATTTGCTGAGGACCTCACTTTTATACCCCCGGGGGGTCAAGCCCAGGACCTGAAGCCCAGTAAGTATTTGTTGAGTGAAAGGAGGAAAGTAGATGTGTCAGGGGAAGGGAAGGGTCGGGTCCCCTCTCCAGAGAGTGAAGGAGCAGCTCACCGACCATAAGCCCAAATTGACCAAGAGGCCTCATTCATCCCTGGGCCCCCAGGTGCTGCTGCTCCTCATTATGCTACTTGTGGCCGCTGGCCTTGTGGGACTGGACATCCAATGGGAGCAGGAGTGGCATAGCTTGCGTGTGTCACTGCAGGTGAGTGGCCAATCTCCAGTGTCTAGGCAGGAGCCTTGGCTTGCAGCCAACTCTAGAACATATCTTGCTCCTATTCCCCCAAGACTACAGGTAGCTCTCAACTCCAGCAGTCAGGCCCTAAGAGGAAAGTGGGGAGGGGCACTGGAGAAGAGCCCGCCTCACCAGCTCTTGTCCACAGGCCACAGCCCCATTCCTTCATATTGGAGCAGCCGCTGGAATCACCCTCCTGGCCTGGCCTGTGGCTGATACCTTCTACCGTATCCACCGAAGAGGTGCCAATGCCACTGCCCCACTCACCCTTGCTGGCCACTCCTGCTCTGCCACCTGCACTCTGCCTTCCGTCCCCAGAGCTCTCCCCTTGCCCATTCTTGAAAGCCTGTCCCCCACTCCCCACAGGTCCCAAGATTCTGCTACTGCTCCTATTTTTTGGAGTTGTCCTGGTCATCTACTTGGCCCCACTATGCATCTCCTCACCCTGCATCATGGAACCCAGTGACTTACCACCCAAGCCTGGGCTGGTGGGACACCGAGGGGCCCCCATGGTGAGTGTTGGACAGAATGCTGGGAGGGTCAGGAAGGTCTGCTCGTCCACGCTACAGCGGCCAGGCCTGTGGGTTCCCAGTCTCCCACCCTCCCCTGCTACCTCATCGCCTATTCCCTTTCACAGCTGGCTCCCGAGAACACCCTGATGTCCTTGCGGAAGACAGCTGAATGCGGAGCTACTGTGTTTGAGACTGATGTGATGGTCAGGTGAGGGAAGCTGGGGCTTAGGGGACCTGGGGGGGCTGAAGGATATGATGACCAGCCCCAGAGCTTGGCCCTCTGACACCCCTTGTGCCCTCAGCTCCGACGGGGTCCCCTTCCTCATGCATGATGAGCACCTGAGCAGGACCACGAATGTAGCCTCTGTATTCCCAACCCGAATCACAGCCCACAGCAGTGACTTCTCCTGGGCTGAACTGAAGAGACTCAATGCTGGGTCCTGGTTCCTAGAGGTGAGGACAGCCTCTGCAAAGAGGCAGCCACCTACAGGGACACTCAGAGAGGGCAGAGTTCATTCTGTTGATAAGCATTTGCTCAGCCCTGTGCTAGGCAATAAGAACATAGTCTGTGCTCTCACTCAAGTCACTTCCACCTAGTAGAGAGCCTAGGCAGCAGACGATTCAGGAAACCCAGAGCAAGAAAAACATTTTCCTGCCTGGGAGAGAATCAGGAGTGGATTCATACAGGAGAAGATGAGAGTCTTCTCCTAAGATGCACAAAGCAGGGAACGGGAACTCCATCAGAGGGAAGAGGACATGTAAAACCCAGAAGTCTGAAAAAGGGTGTTTCCAGGAATAAAGTGTGGCTGAATGTAACTGAGAGAGACAATTCATGGGAGTGGTAGGGAGCAGAGGCTTGGCCTTGAAGATCTCCGAATGCCTGGCCCAGAAGTGTCAACTTCAATCCTGTAAGTGGTACAAAATATTTAAAAGGATATTGAATTTTTTCAGTTCCTCTTTCCCTGATTGTAAAAGTAATACATGTTCATTGTAAAAAGTAAAACATCAGAGAAATAAGAAATAACATGGAAATCAAAGTCTCCCATAGTCCAATCCCTCTGAAATATTCACTGTTAACAGTTGGATACACACACACAGACACACACACAGTTCCCGACTTCTGAGGTTCCACTTAATGATTTTTTTACTTTATGATGATTTGAGATTGATATACATTCAGTAGAAACTATACTTAGAGTACCCACATGACAACTGTTTTTCATTTTCAGTACAATATTCAATAAATCACATGAGATATTCAATACTTCATTACAAAATAGGTTTTGTATTAGATGATTTTTGCCTAACTGTAGGCTAATGTAAGTTCTGAGCACACTTAGGGTAGGCTAGGCTAAGCTAGGATATTTAGTAGGTTAGGTATATTAAATGCATTTTTGATTTTCAATCTTTTCAACTTAAAAAATGGGTTTATCAAGATACAACCCCATCATAAGTCAAGGTGCATCTGCATACACAAACACACAGTCTCTCTCTATTTTGCACAAATAGAATCATTACACAGACTCTTTTGCAATTTGCTTCTTTTCCATTTAATTCTTTACATCATATCAGATCAGAGTGATTAAGAGCAAAGGATGTCTGGGTTTAAACCCTGGCTCCACCACTTACTGGCTGTGTGACCCGAGGCAGCATTTCTTAAGTCTCTCTGTGCCTCAATTTTCTCATTTGTACAATGGGAATAATAACAGTACCTACCTTGTAGGGTTATCGGGAGGATTAAATCAGTTAATACACATAAAGTACTCAGAACACTGCCTGGCACATAGTAAGTACTTAATAAGTGTTAGATAGCTAGCTTTATCCATGTCAGCAATTAGGAAGTGAGGTCATTCATTGAGAATAAGGAGAGGAGAGGAGAGTAGCAGAGGCTGGGAATAACACTAGGGGGAATGGAAGAGGGAGCAAATCAAGAGCAAGTAAAAGGATTGCTAAACAGTGCTGAGAGCGAAAAATAAGGACTGCAGTGCCAAGAGCCCACATTTTGTACTCTGCCCGTGGCAGTGCTCAGTCCCCAGTTCTAGTGGTAGAGGAGGCAGACAATTGTACAATTGAATCAGTCTGGGAGTTGTAGGGCAAGTGGGACAGAAAGGGAGCTGAGAGTGCTATGGAAAAGTAGTTCAAGCTGTGGATGAACCATGGGTAGGGGATGTAGGTGCAGCTAGAAAGGGGCTGATGAACTGGGAAGAAACCAAAGCGTCAAGATTGCAGAGGTCTCCTCGAGACCAACGAGAAGATGTAGTGGGAGAGAGGAAGTTAGGAAACTGGAAGGGCAGGAGGTTGAGGTCACAGAGTAAGTTGTTAGATGGTCTGGAAGAAGGCCACGGTTTGGAAAAAGGCCCTGGCTCAGAGGTGGAAAGAAGCTGGACACCAAGTGGAAGATATGAGTGAAGATAGTGAGGATGGGGGCAAGGCCGGGAGGCCTCTTCTGGTCTTGAAATAATTGTTCTTTCTTATAGAGGCGACCCTTCTGGGGTGCCAAACCGCTGGCAGGCCCTGATCAGAAAGAGGCTGAGAATCAGACAGTACCAGCATTAGAAGAGCTATTGGAGGAAGCCGCAGCCCTCAACCTTTCCATCATGTTCGACTTGCGCCGACCCCCACAAAACCACACATACTATGACACTTTTGTGATCCAGACATTGGAGACTGTGCTGAATGCAAGGGTGCCCCAAACCATGGTGATGTTTCCAGGACCCCCTCTCCCCACCCTGCCTTCCCTAGGCCATGATGATGATGATGATTTTGAGGCTGCCCCTAGCCCCAGGGCCCTGCCCCAGCTCACATACCCCATTCTGTGGTCAAACCTCTCTGCCCCGTCCCTGCCCTTGGAATCCCTAGGTCTTCCCCAGCTTCACACCCATCCTTCCTGAACCACAGGTCTTTTGGCTACCGGATGAAGATCGTGCTAATGTCCAACGACGGGCACCTGGAATGCGCCAGATATATGGACATCAGGGAGGCAACAGAACTGAGAGGCCCCAGTTTCTCAACCTCCCCTATCAAGATCTGCCACTATTGGATATCAAGTGAGCGCTAGAGGAAAGGAACCAAGGGGATCACATGAGGCTTAATGGCAGGGAAGAACCAATTCAGGGAGAGCAAAGCCTCTTCATTCATTCACTCATACAACAAGTATTTACGGAACACTTGCCATGTATCAGGTAGTATTGCAGGCTTTGGGGACACAACACGAATCAGACAGACAAGGTTCCTGCTTTTGTGGAATGCATGTACTACTGAAAGAAACAGAGAATAAGTCACTTAACAAAATACATGCATATTGGAAAGTGGAAAAGTGTTATGAAGACAAAACAGAGAGATGTAGAAGAGTGGTTAGGTTTGGGAGTGATGGGCTGGAGCAGGGAGGTGGGTGCAGCCACATTAGGAAGGCTGGTTAAAGAGGTGATATCTAAGCTGAGACCTGAATGGTCGCAAGGAGCTAACTACGAGCTGCAGAACAGGAACGGCAGCCTAATGAGCAAGGGGAAGAGGAAGCTAGAGAAGCAGGCAGGGGTCAAATTGGGTAGGACCTTGTAGGCCATGGGAAGGATTTTATTCCACAACAAAGAGATCAGGGTAAGACAGCATGAATCGGGGAGAGTCCCAGATGTGAGCTGAACCCCAGAAGCTGACCCAGCTGAACCATGACGGACTTCAAAGCATCTGGTTGCTAAAGCCTCTTATAAGGTCCTTGTGTTCAGATAGAAAAATGTGAACTGAATGATAGCCCAGTTATCATACATATTTCTTTTTTTAATTTGAATTTTAATTAAAAAAATTTTTTTAGAGATAGGGTCTCGCTCTGTCACCGAGGCTGTAGTGCAGTGGCCTGATCATAGCTCACTGCAGCTTTGAACGCCTGGGCTCAAGTGATTGTCCCACCTCAGCCTCCTGAGTAGCTAGGACTATAGGCACACACCACTATGCAAGAGACAGGTTCCTACCACCTGCCCAGGCTGGTTTCAAACTCCTGGCCTCAAGCAGTCTTCCTGCCTTGGCCTCCCAAAGTGCTGGGATTACAGGCCTGAGCCATTGCCGCCCTCAGCCTCCTGGTTATAAGCATGAGCCACTTCACCTAGCTATATAAGTATTTCTTTCCCCAAGTTATCCCCAAAGAGGAAGACATGACATAGGGTTTGGCTCTCACCTTAGTCTTGTCCTGGTCAACACCAGCTGCTAATCAACTGCTGATCACGTTTCCAAATGATGTGAATTGGTGATGAATACACTGATGATGGAATCGATGCCCTGAAAGGTCTAGGTGCTGTGAAAAGATAGGCCAAATCTAGCAAGATGATATGCACCAGGGATAGATGTAAAGACCTCTATTTGGGGCCCAAAAGAATTTCAGTTGCATGAAGACCAGAGAGGAGACACTGGCATCAACAGGAACGTGTGTGAAAAAGATCAGGGCTTTCATCGAACAGTATACGTAGTGAGTCATCAGTGGGATGTAACATTGCCAAAGGCTAACCTGACTCTGGGCTACCTGAATACAGGCATAGTGCCCAGAGGACAGGAGGAGATAGTTTTGCTCTATTCAAAGCTGACCCAAGTTGGCCAGGCATGGTGGCTCCCACCTGTAATCCCAGCACTTTGAGAGGTCAAGGTGGGAGGATCACTTGAACCTAGGAGTTCAAGACCAGCCTGGGCAACATAGCAAAACCCCATCTCTACCAAAAAAAAAAAACTTAGCTGAGCATGGTGGTGCCAACCTATCGTCCTAGCTACTCTGGAGGCTGAGGCAGAAGGATCACTTGAGCCCAGGAGGTCGAGGCTGCAGTGAGCCAAGACTGTGCCACTGCACTCCAGAGCAAGATCCTGTCTCGAAAAAAAAAGGCTGGTCCAAGCCTATTTGGGATATTATTTTCAGAGACAGGCCCCATATTTTCAAAGGAACATTGATAAATTGGAATATATCGTATTAGAGAGGCTTGTACAGGGAAGGAAATAATAAGAGTAATGGCTGAAGGAGCTGGAGCTGTGGGGCCTAGAGAAGGCTCAGGGAGACAGGGCCTCTGCTCAGGACCCAGGGGAGAGAGACATTGTGTGGCCCCAGATAGCAAAGCTAGTACCCATGGGCGGAATCCACCAGAAGACAGAGCTCAGCTATGAAAGGAAAATCACTGTTGGTCAGGGGCTGCTATGGAAAGGCAGAGCTGACACCTCCTTGGCAGTGGCACTGTAGATTCAAGCACAGGCAGGGGGCTGCCTCCCAGGTCCCGTGCACCATGATTCTGGATGTTCCCTATTTTCTTTCCCACCTTCACAGGGCATTGCACAAGGATAATGTCTCGGTGAACCTATTTGTAGTGAACAAACCCTGGCTCTTCTCCCTGCTTTGGTGTGCAGGGGTGGATTCGGTCACCACCAACGACTGCCAGCTGCTGCAGCAGATGCATTACCCTATCTGGCTTATTGTAAGGGCCCTGGGACTGTCACCTCTCCTCTTTTTCTCCCATCCCTGGTTTTCCTTAATTCTGTCCCTCTCTTCCTTACTTATTTCCCCTGATATACTACCCTTGGGACCTTTTCCTATTTTCACAGACCCCTCAAACCTACCTAATCATATGGGTCATTACCAATTCTGTCTCCACCACGCTGCTTTTGTGGACCTTCCTCCTCCAAAGGTGAGTGCTTTGTGCCTCAGCTTTCTGGGTCCTTACTTTCTCCAGGGCCCTGGTGATGAGGCTGCTTCAGACTCACATATGCTGCCCAGGGCTGAGGGTCTGTTTAGTTCCTTTGAGATTCTTAGGCCCTTCCTTATACTATCAAATTGGCTTGAACATGGGAAAAGCACTTAGGGGAGCAGGTGTGGGGGCTGGAAGGGCCTGCTTGAAGCTAGCTGAACTCACAATGGGAAGCTTTTCTCCCCACAGGAGATTTGTTAAGAAGAGAGGGAAAACTGGTAAGAACTTTCTCCCCTCACCTCATATTTCTCCTCCTGTAGCTTTCCCCTTGCTTAACTCCCTAGATGACCTACCCTCCCGCTCCTCCCCAGGCTTGGAAACAGCAGTGCTGCTGACGCGGATCAACAATTTCATGATGGAGTGAATGCCCTGCCCTGCCTCCCCACCCAAGGCAGTCTACATTGCGCAAACAGCAAGGGTTGGAGAGCAGCTGAAATGGAATGCTTCAGGGGTGGTGGGTTGCAGTGAGAGGAGCTTTGCCAACAGGAGATTTTGAACCATGAGGGCCCCTTGCCTAGGTGATGGGCATTCCCTAAGCTGCTATGGAATCTGCTCCCCTTGGGGTTTTGACCTGAGATGTTTGGGAACACAGTGAGTCATGAATGGTCTCTCTCCAGATGAAACTAGAACAGAGGAAGTAAAAGAGAGATTGTTCGGATAATGTCTCAGACTTGTGTGCACGTGTTCTTGCATAGAAGGCACAGGGTGTGTCGGGGTGGGAATAGCTTGGAAGAGGGACTGAAGGAGATAACGAAATGGTCTTTCCCGGAGAACGGTAAGATGATAGAGACACCATCGCCACTCCACGATATACTGTCTTCCCCGACCCTTGCAACTTAGCTGTTTTCGTGCCTAGAGGCCAGAAGCTGAAGAGCCCGTCTAGCCATGTAATTCTGTGCTTACAGGTGGCTTTTTGCTGTGCGCAGCCTTTTCTTCAAGGCAGGTTGGTTCCTGTATCTTGTCTTAATCTGTTACTCAAAGAATGTAATCTCCATTTGGTCACAGCCTAATCTTTTTGGCTCAGGGGCTGGGGAGAGGAAGCACCTTCCATCTGTGGTTGGATGGGACACGACCTTGAGGGGCCATCATGGGGAGATGGGAGGAGGTGGACTGGAGGTGGGAGGAGAATCACCTGCGGCAATGAAGGACTCGCGGGAGGCCCGCGGGAGAGCAGCCACCTCGGGGGCGTCCGGAGGCCAGGCGCGCGGTGCAGGGTTGCGCTGTAGCTCCACCTTGTGGCCGCCCCAAGAGGAGGGCCGCATCCGTTGTCGCCGTGACGTATTTGCTGAATGCCACCTGTTTTCCGTGCCGCTTGGGGACTCGTGTCCTTGACTCAGGACTCCGAGGGCAAGGTCCGATTTCCACAAGTTTTCGCTCCTCTGGGCTGCGAGCAGGGTCCAATTTCCGGCCCAGCCTTCCCTTCGAGGAGCAAGTTCCCCAATGCGTTTGCGGCTCGGGAGTCCCTGGGCTCCGCAGCTAAGGTGGCCAGTGCGGAGCTGACCGAGGATGAAGAGTCTAGTAGAAGCAGGGAGGGCCTAAGGCAAAAACGGGGACAAGAGGGGCTCTGTGGTGACCCCACAGTCTTCCGCCACACCCACATTCGACCTAGTTCGTATCTCCACACGGAGGGAAGTAGAACTAAGGAGTTGGCCAGGTAGGGAGGTCCGGTTCTCGGTTCCTCCTCTCTCGCCAGACCCTGGGGCAGCACTGGCATCATCGGGACAAGACTCGCCCCCCCCACCCTCGGTTGCTGGGCAGCCGCGGGAACTACAGTTCCCAGTGAGTCCCCGGCCATTTCCGGTCTCCGGCTGGACGCAAGCGAGTTTGAATCCGTGTTCCCGCCCCCTTCTCCCGGGCCCACCCCTTCCCTTTCTGGCCGCCCCGCCCTCTCTGCGTATCACTGCACACTCCGGCTCCGGCGGCCGGCCGCGCCCACGTACCTGGCCTGCAGCTGGCACGGTGGGCGGGGGTGCCAGCATGCGACGCGTGGGGAGGCTGGAGGCGCACGGAGAACGAACGCCGCAATCAGTGCTCCGGTCCTGGTCTTCCTGGGGGTCCACGCCGCTGTGTACCGGGCAGGTCTCTCCCACACTCCGCCTTTTCGAGCAGCGTTCCCTTACTTTTCCCGGTTCCCCATCCATACCCCCTCTGTCAGACTGGCTACCAGCCTTAGCTCTAGGGCCCCCAGTCGGCCTGGTACTGCCCGGCTGTCACCTCTCAGCACGTACCTCCTCCCCCATCCCTACTTTAATGTCCCTTCCCAATCGCCCAGTCTCTTCCTCCCCTCACCTCCCAACCTCACCTTGAAGACCTCCAGTAACTCCATCCCTGCAGCCCCAACCTCTCAGCTCTCACACTCTCAGCTGTGGTCCTCTAACCTCAGCGTCTGGCCCCCCAACCGGAACGACAGCACCCAGCCCCAGCCTCTAACCCCTTTCTCCTAGCCCCTAGCCTTGGGTACGCAACCTTGAGCCTGCCACGGGAAATCCTCACTCTCTTCCCAGGAGAACTGGACAGCTATAGCGGCTTAACCTATAGGCCCTGGGCTGGATTCTGACACTGACAAAAACTTAAGGGCGGAGGACCCGGGGGAGCTGCTCATTGGGGTTCGGATGTAGTTGCTCTTCGTTATTTTTAGCTGCTGACTCACCGCTCCTGGCATCCGGGTTTGGGGCTAGCAGGCTGGGCTAGGGGGCTATTAATAGAGCAGGAGCACAGCCCCGACCCAGTTCAGTTTGGAAACACAGAGAGCAAGAAGCGTCCCCTGCCACCATGCCCTGTGGAGATGTGGACTGAGCAGTGGCTGGGCCAGATGCTCTCTGGCTGCCAGTTACCTCACCCTGGTATCTCTACCTTGGAACTCTGGAGGGAAAGCCCACGAGGAGACTCCTGGGCACAGCTCTCCCCTAAGCTTGCCATGGCTTGGGGCTCTGCCACAATCAAGCTTCTGTTGTACTAGCTGAGAAGGAAGAGATGCGTCCCAAGTGGAAAGATTGTTTTGGTCATGGCCTTGGCCTGCCTGGGCCCACTCCTGGGCCAGAATGCTAGGTTACTAGAAGGAAAAGCTATGGATTTCTGGTCCCTCACAGCCTTCATAAGGATGGAGTGCTTCAGCATGGTCCTAACACAGGGGGCACAGAGCTGGGGATCCCCAAACCAGACACAGAGCTCAGAAGCTGCCAGATTCTGTGCTTACCACACCCCCAACCCCGCCATTCTTTTTATTTCTTTCCATTTTGTTGGGCTCTGTCCCTACTCACAGGGATTCACAGACCTCATGATCTCTCCCTTGTCTGGAGAGAAACCGTATTCATGAAAGCCACGGAAAACTTGTCCCCAATGAGGTATGAATGATCCTTTATATATTGTCATTCCAATGGACCTTTTTATTTTAATGGGCTAACGTAAGAGATTCCTAATGTATACACTGGGAATCGTGAGGAAATCTTGATGGACTGATCAAAATTATTCCCACGCAAGCTCAATTTGCTAGAATTCCCATTGACTAAGGGTGCACACCCACAACAATGCTCCTCCCCTCCTTGCAAATCAGAAACTTCCACCTTCAGCGACCCGAGTCTCCAGCCCCCAGATGAAACCACATTTGGGGCAAGAGAGATCGTTTCACCACACACAAAATGGAGGTCACCCAGTGAAACTCTATTTTCAAGAATGAGCCCAGTTTATCAGACAGCAGCGGACCGCGGTCTCAACCCCGTCTATTTGCTGAAGGAGCAGGAGAGGCGGTGGAAGGGGAGAGAAATGGTCTCTCTGCTTGAAAATCCCTTCCTGAAGTCCTCCATCGCCTGGTTGCCTAGCAACCAGAGCTGCCTGCAGCGGTGTGGGGCTGCTTTTGGTCCGTAGGGGGCGACTGTCTCCCTGGGGTCTCAGACTGGAGCCCTGGCAGTTGGGAGGGGGGTTCCCTAGTTAAGTGTCACAGTGTCTCAGTGTGGCTGACCTCCTCCCAGCCTTGTCAACCCAGTCCAGTCTGAGCGGCAGGGAGCCTATGGAATGAGGAGAAGCTCGCTATGAATCTGGAGGGATTTTGCTCACAATCATTAAAAAATGAAGAGAGAGGGAGGGTGGGAGGAAGGGAGGAAGGAACCTGTTAAAGGGGATAGGACAAAAAAGGGGATAAGGAGGGGGCCTGAGGAGGACAGTTTGACCCTCTCCATTCAATCGAGGCTTATCAATGCTTATTTTTCAATCAGAGCAGTTCAGAGGTTGAAAGGAGTCTAGCAATCTCTATTGACAAACTGTTAATCATATAAAAGCCTAGGCTCCTGGGTTACCAGCCCAGCCTAGATTTGGTCATTAAGGAAGATATTCATCCATTCATTTGACCATAATTAACACTAACCCACTATGTACCACGCAGTGTGCTAAGTGTTCTACATTCAACCCTCACAAGAACATTGTGATTATTTCCTTTTCACAGATTACAATACCAAGTCTCAGAGAGGTTAAGTAATGTCCAAACACAAAAATAGTGACTGGATTGGGTCTGATTGAGCAATCACTGTGTGCCAGTTCTAGGAGTACAGAAAACAATACATTTCTTTTTTCTGCCTAATGAACGCCCAGTCACCCTTTGGGACCAAACTGAAAATATCATCTCCTTTGTGAAACTTTTCTTAAGTCCCCTTCCCCCCAACAAGCAGAACTGATAACTTGCTTTTCTATACACCCTCCTGAAATACCGCTTTTCACGGGTATGGTAATGATCTGCTTCCATATTTCCATTTCTCTCACTTTGAGCACCTTGGTGACAGGGCCTGTGTTCATCTCCAATTGGATATCTAATAAACATCCCAAACCCAACATGCTCATTTCTGAACAGCTGACCTTTTCCCCAAAAAATGACCCCTCCTAAAACTGTCCTTATCTCAATTGATGGCAATTTCACATCTCCAGTTGTCCTGGCAAAAAATCCTTGGAACCACACCTTGTATCCAGTCTGTCAGCAAATCCTTTCAGCTCTCCCTTCAACATACACCCAGAATCCAACCACTTCTCATCATCTCTGGTGCTACTATGCTGGTCCAAGGCACAACCACCTCTCAGCTGGATCATTTCAGCAGCTGCCTGACTAGTCTCGCTGCTTCCACCCTCGCCCCATGGCCTGTTCTCCGCAAAGAAGCTATACCAATCCTGCTAAACCCAAGTCACATCATGCCAGTTCTCTGCACAAAACCCTCCAATGGCACTCCATCTCTCTGAGAGGAAAGCCAAAATCTTTACATTGGTCTACAAGGTCCTACACAATCTGGTCCCTTATTAAATCTCTGATCTCGTCTCCTGGCATTCTCCCCTCCTTACTCTCTGTTAAAGCCACTTGATTCTCCTTGCTGTTCCTTGAGCAAGCCGGATGCACTCCTTACCAAGACCTTTGCACTCCTTACCCAGGACCTTTGCACTGGTCTCCCCTTGCCAGGTTTACTCTTCTGCATGGCTCACTTCCTCACCTTCCTCAATTCTTTGCTCAAATGCCACGTTTTTGGTGAAGCCTACCCTGACCAACCTATTTAAGATTCCCTCTATTTTAATTTCCAGTTTACAGTAAATACAGGGTACAGTAGTCCTCCTTTATCCATGGGTAGTATGTTCCAAGATCCCCAGTGGATGCCTGAAACAGCAGATAGTACCAAACCCTATGTATACTGTATTTTTCTGAAGTGATAACCAAGATGGCTACTAAGTGACTTATAGGTGTGTAGTGTATGCAGTGTGGATACACTGGACAAAGGGATGATTCACATCCTGGGTGAGATGGAGCAGGACAGCACAAGATTTCATTACATAACGGCATACAATTTAAAACTTATAAAAAGTTTATTTCTGGAACTTTCCATTTAATATTTTCAGACTGCAGTTGACCATGGGTAACTGAAACTATGGAAAGTTAAAACCATGAATAAGAGGGGGAGTACTGTATAAAGGAACGAGATAAATGACACCATGAGGAAAAAGACAAATCCAAAACAACTGACTGGCACTTTCAAAAACTTGATGTAGTTAATTTTTAAAAAAAGATGGAAGACTTCCAGTTATGGACCCAGTTAGAATAGACACACCTCTCCCTATTCCTCACACTAAGTACAGCTAAAACTCTGGACATTATATATAAGACAAACATAAGAAGACTATGAAAGAAGAGGAAGGGGGCAGACTAACTAGGAACCCCAGTGACCTGAACTCGAGGTGATGAGTTCCCTGGGTTTTCTTGTTGCATCAAATATTCCAGACCAGGTACTGGAGAAGCCAGCAGCCTGGAAATGCCAATGGGCACAGAAAAAAAAAAATGTAAACACCAATAACTGGCCTGTTCTCTCTAGCCATAAGACCAGGAAATGGAGTTTGGCCAGACAGAAAACTCTTAGACAGTAACCACCCACTGCAACCACACACCACAGAAAAAAAAAAACAAAAAACTAGCTGCACCCAAGCCAGCAAAGGCCAAGTAGATAACCCAGAGTTTCACTCTGGCCAGGCTCCCCCGTACTCTGGGGTAGTGTCAGAGAAGGCTGAGTATACAGCCTAAACTTCCATCCCCAAGGGATAACAAGACCCCCTTCCTGTTGGGTGGTGTCAGTGTCAGAGGAGGCCTGGTGGTGAGTCAGGACTTTCACCACAACATATCATTTAGTGAGGCCACTAGCCTCCCTCTCCTCCCCTCCCAAAATCTCTCTACCTCCTGACTGTGGTGTTAGTGGAAGCCCACCTGGGGAACAGTAAAAAGGCACTTCTGCCCCTTCCAGCTAGGGAGGCATCAGTGGAGGCCTAGTAGGGAGCTGGAATTTTTACCCCTGCACGGTAAAAAGGAGAAGCCCCCACTACACCTACCAACCAAGGCCAAGGAAGGAAATTGAACTTGAACCTCTACCTGTCAGTAACCAGGCAGTGGCCCTTTCCTCTGATGAAAATGGTGTCAGAAGAAGCCTACCAAAAACAAAAGATGTAAATGAAATCCAGAGTCTCATACTATAATATCCAGAAATTCCCAGGATGCAATAAAAATCACTCCATATCTAAGCCCAGCACCTATAGTCCCAGTTACTCAGGAGGCTGAGTTGGGAGAATCACTTGAGCCCAGGAGTTCAAGGTCAGCTTGGGCAATCTAGTGAGACCCTGTGTCTTAAAAAAAAAAAAAAAAAAAAAAAAAATTCACTCATTATACCAAGAACCAGGAGACCTTCAATTTGAATGAGAAAGAGAAAGATTTCAACTATCTGACAAAGATTCTAAAGTGGCCAACAGAAGAAAAAAAAAAATGCTTCTATGAGCAATCTATGAGCAATTACAAACAAGGTTAAAACAAATTTAAAAAATAGCAAGTCTTGGCAAATAAATAAGAGATACAATGAAGAATCAAATAAAACTTTATGGCCGGGCGCGGTGGCTCAAGCCTGTAATCCCAGCACTTTGGGAGGCCGAGACGGGTGGATCATGAGGTCAGGAGATCGAGACCATCCTGGCTAACACGGTGAAACCCCGTCTCTACTAAAAAATACAAAAAACTAGCCGGGCGAGGTGGCGGGCTCCTGTAGTCCCAGCTACTCGGGAGGCTGAGGCAGGAGAATGGCGTAAACCCGGGAGGCGGAGCTTGCAGTGAGCTGAGATCTGGCCACTGCACTCC